CACTAAACAGCCAGACATTAGGAGTTAGGATTCAAGGAACTTTGTTGTCACGCCAGCTCACATTTACATGTCTGTGGTACGAAACTGGTCCTCAGGTCCCGGTTTTTAAAAAGCAGAATAAATAATAAGTACAATAAAACAAGAGATATAAGTAAAAATACAAGCAATGAACATGAAGGTAGAAAAACCAAAATTAGCTGTTTACCACTAGATAGATAGATAGATAGATAGATAGATAGATAGATAGATAGATAGATAGATAGATAGATAGATAGATAGATAGATAGATGTTACAGCATAAGCTAGAGTTACCACCACCATAAATACCCATAAATAGGCAGAAATAAACAATAAGATGCAAAACAACAATAAGTAGTGGAGTGCAAACAGTGATGTGCAGCTAAACAAGTACACCTGAAGTGAAAAACACTGGTTAAAATACTGCACATACATGTGGATGAAGTGTTTATTAGTGTTTCCAGCTGAAAGCAGAGCAACCATCAGAGTTAGATGTGCTGATGTGATTCCAGACCAACACTTCTGATGTTGATCCTGGATGCTGGATGATCCGTATCCATAGGTGGTTACAGCAGGACTTGGTAACTGGGAGACAATATTGATGTATGTTTGTTATGAGTCGTATAGAAAATGCAGGTTTCTGGTGTTGCAGCATAACAACATCTTTGCTGCTCTAATGCTGCCAGAATACATCAGCTGGAGTGAAGCCACTTGACACATTCAACACGTTAATGCATTTAGAGGATATAATACGTTGCTGTTTGGTTTCCTGATATATCCTCTCATCTCCTCCGGTATCATCCATTTCTTAGTGAGTTCCTAATTTCCTACCTATCCATCCTTGCTATTATGCAAATCCGCTGCCATCAAACTCCATTACTGCTGATCTGAAAATATCTCAAATTGACCTCTCCTCTTCCAGCCATTTAGCGAACACCCAAGAGGATAAGAAAAGCGCTCGCTCAAACAACAAACGGGAAGATACATCAGCGACGGCTGACGCTAAAGGCTGGATTGGAGGTGGATTCTTTTTTTTTTTCTTTTCCTTTCACTTTCCTCCGCAGACCTTTTATAGAATTAAACCGACACCTCCAGGAGACAACAACAGTTTCTGGCATCCCAGAACCACCTCCACACCCGCTGTCAGTGCTGATCAGACCCCTACACGTCTACAATACACCACCACCCCGGCATTACACCTACAGTTGTGTTTGTGCTCCGCGAACAGGTTTTATTTAAATCATTCAATGGAGAACCGAGATCACATTGGAGGATGCTAAAAATTCAGAGGCAGGGGTGTGTGTGCACCTGTTGGGAGGTTCAGGTGAATAAGGGATGAATTCATGCGTGTGTGTGTGCATTTGTACATGCGTGTGTGTGACTGTGTGCGTGCAAACGGAGCGTGGGAGGTGTCAGCGGGGTAAGCCACAGGAATATCACCAAGAGTGATCAAAGACTCTAATTGTACCACAGGGAGGGAAAAGGAGGACGGAGAAGCAGAATGACGGGCAGCAAACACAAACAGGACACAAATAGGAACAAAGACCCGAAGGGAAGAAAGAACGGCGAGTCCGTTAACCTACATGAAGGAAGGCGACTCGGAGAAAGTGATCAGCAGAGATAAGAGGCGACATCACCGAATCATCAGCCGGCGTCTTAAAGTTTTATGTCCCCATAAATCCCAATGATTTGACACACTCTGAGGAATCGTGAGGATAAAACGCAGATGTAAAGGAAAGAATGCGGCAGGAATGTTTTACTTCACACACGTTTAATCAGCCAAAGAACAGAGTGTTAATCACAGCTATGAGCAGAGAGTTGGCTTCGTTAGTGTGTGTTTGTTGTCGGCGCACCGACGACTAAATAAAGCGGCTTTATGGGCATGTTTAGGAGAAACTGTGACTGATTAACCGTCTCTGTCTAGACGTCTGTCCTGGTTCGCTTCTTCAGCTCAGGATAAACTACGATGATGATCATATATGAACATAAAGCAGTTCAACTGTTTCTAAGAGAAAAGGCTCCAGAAATGTTCTTTTAGTTCCCTGGATGTTCTTTTTAACGGCACGATAACTAAACTAAAAAATGTCCTGATGGTGACAACATGGCCAGTTATGCCCCGACGTTCTCAGTGTTACTGTGAGAACGTTCTTCCTCTGTTATCATGCAACATTGCGGGAACGTTTTATAGATTCTACGATGTGTTTCCTGGACAGCATCCCCCAAACCGTTGTTAATACAGCACATCACAGGAACGTCTCCTAGAAAACGTTCCATCATCTGAGGTCTTGACAACGTCTACAAAACATTATCCAAGCGTTGCATTGAGAACATTCATCCTTCGTTATCACTGTGGAAACGTTTCTTAGAAGTACGTTCTATATTGTGTTTCCTCAACAAAAAGGCAAAACGTTCCGTCTTAAATACGTCAGAGGAACGTTGTAAATGTTCTAGTGGATCAATAAAATATTCCCTCAACTAAATCCCCAAAACATCCTCAGAACGTTGCGGTTCTGATCCAGTTCATGAAGATTTTTCTGTTCACTGTTACAACATGCAGGAAAAAGACCAGCAGCAGGAAAACATCAATGAAATGCTGCTGAAGATAAACAAGTGTTGGAATGGATGTGAAGCGCTCACCAGAGTCTGCTGAGCTGAGCCCCAGAGGGACGGACAGCAGAAGCCTGCTCACTGGTCTCCATCAGAACCAGGACTTAGATGGTGGTTAGGGTCGCCCTCTGACTGCAGGAGAACCGCATGTCGTACCCCAGCTAGCAGGGAACGTTCCTACAACATTGGCTAACATTGCCAACAAGTTCTAATCAGGTTTTTAAGAAAATGTTTCATTTTACATTTTGACATATAAGGGCTGCAGGTGGATCAGTGGTTAGCACCGTTAGCGCCTCACAGCTAGAAGGTCGCTGGTTCACGTCCCGGTGAGGACACCCGGGATCTTTCTGCGTGGAGTCTCCATGTTCTCCCCGTGCAGCGTGGGTTCTCTCCGGGTTCTCCGGCTTCCTCCCACAGTCCAGAAACATGCTGAGGTTAATTGGTGATTGTAAATTGTCTGTAGGTGTGAATGTGAGTGTGCTTGGTTGTCTGTCTCTAAGTGTAGCCCTGTGATAGACTGGTTACCTGTCCAGGTGAACCTGCCTTCACCCTGAGTCAGCTGGGATAGACTCCAGCCCCCCATGACCCTGGTGAGGATGAAGGTGTAGAGATGATGGATGGATGTTTTGGGGATGCATAGTAGAATCTATAAAACATAAAACATTTCCACAATGTTCCAAATAACAAAGGAGGAATGTTTCAGTTTTGAGAACGTTGGGGCCACATCAGTCTAACTTTGTTATCACCAAACATTAGAGCATCTTCAGTAATCCTCCCTTTAAGAAGAACATTCTGGAAGCTTCTTGCTGAAACCATTAGCAGAACCTTCTCACAATGTTTTTTTTAAACAAACAAACAATCGTTCCTTCTGCATGCTTTCAGTCTGGATCTCTACCACGATAAAAAGTATGACCTTTAAAAACACACATAAAAACGCTGGTGTATGTTTTCATCTCAGAGCCGGTGCAGAGTCCAGTGTGAGGAGTGAGTCACAGCGAGGGAAGACTCCATGCCGAGGTCGCACCTTGAGTCGTCACGTAGCCTGAAACCATCCATGAAGCCCCGAACAATAGCGAGCGAGACACAGAGGGCAGCAAATGTTGCCCTGAGGCCGAGCTTAGGGAGCATCCTAATGCTTCTGAATGAGTCACACGGCTTCGCTCAACTTTCCTTCTCTTGGCTCTTTGTGTTGCTGCTGGAGGTGTGAAACCTTCATGACCGCTGCAGCGCTGCCAGATGGCACCAAACCAAACACTCAGGAACACGAAATGATTTTCATATGTAGGAAAACTCTTCCCTCTACATCCTGCCTGCTGTTTCTGGAAAGACAATCTCAACGCTACGTCTAAAAATAACTTTATAAGTGGATTATTTCTGCTTTTATGCATTAACGCTGGTGGAGTTGACAGTTCAGGATGTGTGGTGGACGCTGCAGCCGCCTCTCTGAACATCATCTCACCATGCAAAGTGCCACAGTCATGACTTTATCTAAATGGAGACATGAAATGAATCATCTTAAACTGATGATCTGTGTTTTTTCAGTTCTGTTTGAGGGCAGCTTTACATTTTTAATGAAAGTGCTTTTTGATTGGACATATGCTCAGAAGTAATGATCTCCACTTTGTTCATCAAACATTCATTTAGTGTGCGTGGCCTCAGTCATCCAGAAACACGGAAGAGACGGAGGGGCTTTAATTTAGTCAGAAATAATCGATTATTATTCGGATAAAGGCGTCCAGCAGCAGCAGCAGCAGCAGCGGGGTTCACCTGTGGAGGCTCTGTGATTGGAGAGCCTGTGCGCTTCACTCCGCCCCCCTCCGGCGCGCTGCCCGCCTTCCCAAAACCGGAGCGCACTCCGCTCCTCAGTTACCTTCCTCCAGCCGCCGCAGAACAGGAGCTCCATCCCTCCGAGCGGACGCATGACGAGACAGATGGTTCCGGTCCGTGTCCTGGTGTTCTGCTGACCCAAACTGCTGTTGTTTACTAAAAGAAAACAAAAAAAGAAAAAAATCTCCCTCCTGTCACCGGTTTTGGCTCTTTTTTTTTTTTTTTTTTTGGATGCGCCATGCAATCTCGTTGGTGGAGTTGTGGCATCCGGCTGGTGGCGTGGACGTGGATGTGGAGTGTGGCGCTGCTCGGAGCGGGGTGCATCCCCGCAAACGAAGGTGAGACGCGTTTTAACGACGCCGCTGTCTGGGCGCACGGCTGCGCTTTAATTGGCTCTGAAAAGTCCTGTTCGGGTAAAGGTCCGTCACCGCCGCGCTGCGCCTCTGACGCCGTTTGACGGGAGAAAAAAAAAAAAAAGAGGTCGTCTGTAGAAATGAACACGAGCGGATAATCTTTATGACAGCTGTGTCCCCAAGTCTGTAACGACTCCGTGTTCGGTAGAAGGTGTGTAAACCGGAGGGACCTTTGGACGGAACATGCGTCTGTGGTACCAGCCGTCCTCTGAGGACATGGCAGCGCCGACACGGTGCGCAGCCAAAATCTCTGGATTCATCTGAAACATCTGAGTTTCGTGCAGCCGGTCAGCTTCCTGTACCACACTGATCCTAATGCTGGATTATTGTTCCAAAAATATAAAAGAAGAAGAAGAAACCCGCAGGGATTCCCGGTTCCTTGACCTGATGTTGTGCTTTCATGAGTTCCAACTAATAATGAATCTTAATTCATCTCCCAGCTTCTCTGTTTCTTAGATGAATGCTTGCTTTTGGACTTTTACTCCCAACTTGCCTTTAATTCCGTCATAGAACCACCTGAGGTTGAGCTGAAGATGGACCTGCGTCTTCAGAACCGGCCTTTGCTGCCTTTAACCTCTGAGTCCAACCTGCAGACGGTGACTCACCTGCATTAATGTTACATGTCTGCTCAGATGTGACCGTTTTCATTTGAAACCGCTCATAATTCTCCACAGTTGTTCCTCCCAAACGCGCACAGCAGGTTGCAAACCAGCAATTTTCATACCAACTGAACTAATGTGCACCTGCATTGTCCTGGAGTAGCTGGAGCGGAGACGACAGTCGAGTTAAACACATGATGCCATTTTAACAAAGGGCCACAAACAACACAGAGGAAAGGAGGATAAAACAGAGTGTCAGATATTGTTCCCACGCTATTGTCGGCAGAGCGAGCAGCGTTTTAATAGCTCCAGATGAAGGCCATTGTTTGGGGGCTATTAGACGGCATTATCCGGGAAAGAGAGCACATCCGTCAACCTGAGTATTCTCCTCATGGCAGATTTATTTGGTCAAAGTTTACGTCTACAGAAGTGATTCCCAACGTGGGAGAGTTCTGCAGGACGTCGTTTAAAGTTCAGCCTGGTTCTGCCTTTGTTTGGGTTCAGTCACCACACGTTGGGTTCATGCATTCATCCTTTATGGGATCAGCTCCGTTTTGCCACGCTTCCATAAAAGAGGGAAAAAATAGGAGTTCAATGACTTCTGAGGTTTGTGGTTTCAGCCACCGACACCAGAACTGGCAGTAAAAATACTTGAGTTCTTATTTTGATGAAACACAAACGCTCCAGGCTGAAGAGGACGAAGACAGAAGTTCTCCATTTGATCATTTACATCCCAGAATGACTCCGACGTTGGTCCTCTGCTCGGCTCTCCAGCAGCTCTTTTAGTTTCCTGCGAGCGCTCTCTCTTAAATTTTGCCTCGAAAAGCCACGAAACTTCCACTTAACCTAAAATAAGGCTGCTGAGCTCCTCAGCCGTCAGGAAGCGTTCGCCAGAGGCTGCCGCTCGACACAAATTTTAGATTAATTTGGCACATATTTGCATCGCAATGGATAATCATACCATTGCATGCATAATTGGAGAGGAGACAGAAGCCCGTAATTAAACTAGCCTATTCTCTCGTTGGACTAATTTTTTTTTTAATTGGAAAAGAGAGAAAAAAAAAAATAGGATTCAGCACATTTTTTTTTTTCAGCTTGACTTATTTGAGAGATCTGTGTGATGTGAACGTGTCGTCACAATAATGCGGCTGTTTGTCAGATTAAAGTTCATCGAGGTGACTTCCTAACAGGACAAAATAAGACATTCCCAGTTCTTCCATGAAGGTGTACATGTGTTCGTAGCAGTGGGACCAGTTTACCTGCGTTGGTGACGCCCCTGATCAGTGGTTTAGAGGAGAAGTTCGTCAGTCCCTTGTGTTGGAGCTGATCCATTCTTATTTAACGTCTCAGAGCAGAGCCAGATGAGAGACTGTGATTGTGTTTGATTAATCCACATGTCTGACATATGACGACGAGATGAGTAACGTGAGCCGGTGCTTCAGGGACTTTGTGTTGGTGGTGATACTGATCAAATGAGGAATCTGAGAAAATTGCAGCAACGTTTGTCTCTCTGTCAGCGAGAGAGGGAAGGCCTTAAGGCCCGGAGCGGTTCATGCTAACATGTAAATGCCACAATCAGGCATCACGAGAGGCAGATAGGAGGGAAAAGAGGCGACTAGGCAAAGGAAACAACATGTTTTCTGCTTCAAACATGGGCTCCATGAGTCCGTCCAGGCCCACCGGGGTCGAGTTGAAACTCACCTGATGCAGAGGAGCCAAACGGTTTGAATATAAACACTGCGACGGCCTTGTGCGTCGCAGAATGAGCGCTCAGCCGTCGTCCCGGCGAGGATTTTGTCAGTCCTCCCGTTGCTGAAAATCCACTCGACATATTTGAAATGCGTATCCTTGAAGTAATGTCACTGAAGACTTTAAATCACTCCACTCACTCAGCGGTGATGACTTTTAATAATAAGTTCTGTAGATCATTGTCACAGCCGAGCTCTAACTTGTTAGGTGGTTTGATCCTTGGAGAGAGCGAGAGAGGGAGTGAAAGAGGTAACGTATCCCCTATGATCTAGTTCAGTATCACTTATCTCTTCTTTATGGCCTAATTAGTTGTCTAATCGCCTCCTAAGGACATCTTTTATTATTCTCGGCAGAACAGTGGAGACAGTAAGACGAGTTATATGTGTGTGTGTGGTGTGTGTGGTGTGTGTGTGTGTGTGTGTGTGTGTGTGTGTGTGTGTTGGCAGGGCTTGTTGCAGCGTATTGAAGTTCCTGAGCCAGCTTCTTTTCAGCCTCATGTTTTGTTCTGCATACATCAGTGCGGCCTCTCGCTGCAGATCTTTTATTTTTTTATGGATGTGTGTGTCGGTGTTGGCGTTGGGCTTTTTGCAGGAGGACCGGCTGTTTTATGACGCTGCTTATCATCGCACATGTAACTGTAAATGTCACGCTGAGCGGCTGCTTATGAATGTGGCCAGTATTTATGGCTAATTGATTGACCTTTGCACATTTTGCTTTGCGTCGACGTAGCGCTCAGGGGTTTGTCTTTTTTGTTTTTTTGCTGAACACTGGCTGGTTAACTTGTCCAGATATATTGTTAGCTTAAGTTGGACATATAGTCACTTTCACCAGCCTGGCTGCTCTTGAGGCTTCACTTAAACCAGAGGAAGTAGGTCTCCGAATGTGAAATCCATTTTTATTTGTGTGGGGAAACAATTGACATATCAAATATTAAATTTTGTGCCCCTTAGTAAGTCTTAAATTTGTAAATTAGTCAGAGATTCTGCATGTGACCGTATGTGCTTCCATCCACGCCCTGGCTGCTAACATGCTCCACCATCGGCGAGCTTATCTATGGATCATGAAGTTGGACTTTCTCTCCTATTGTTTGGGTGCACATCGTGTCCGACGCAGAGCAAGTCAAACGTTATCGCTCAGGAGATAAAGAGACTGAACTCCGGCCTGAAAGAACTTGAGCCGCGTTTACGATGCGTTCGGCGGCGACCAGACGGGTTTTAGAGCTGCGTGTAGGACAGATACTTCACACGTTCATGTGACTGATGAGGCTGCTGAGTTTGTTCTGACCCAGTCATCTGGATATAATGATTAGCCACCTGCCACCATCACCCACCTGCCTGTTTTCCCAACATCCGACCAAACCTGACTGTTCACTGAGACTCTAAGCAGATGTTGTCGTACCAACCGGCCACCAGCGATGGTGCTGCAGCTGGAAACCGTGTTCACCTTCAGTTTGGCCTCCAAACGTATCCAGAACCTCCCACATGAGCTCACAGTGGCGTCGGTTTGATGCCTTTTTGTTGTTGTTGTTGTACAAGAGGCGCTAAGACGCAGCTCATGAGACTCCAGACAAGACGGAGATGTAAGCATGTTGGAGGAGCAGAGTGGTCAAGTAATTGCACTTGACAGCTTTCAGCTGAGAGCCTGAGCAAGGACGTCTTTTTTTTTTTCGTTCTTTTTTTCTTAAATGGATGAGTCTGGGCTGCGAGTTGTGTTGCAGACGCTCTATTGTGTGCGAGCATAAAGCTTGAGGGGGAGTTTTTGGTCAACAAGATGCAACATGCTCGGCTCCACTAAAACGAATGTGAATGAATGTCAGTCCTTGACTCGTGCACCTGCTCGTTTTTGGCATTTAGACGACTATGCGCTGAAATTTCAATCAAATCCTCGCACATTAACAGCACCGTAGCATATTATACAAATGGGAACGTGTTCTTTCATTCTGCCAGCTATCAGACGTATCCCGGGATGATATTACTTTTTCACCTAATTTGATTTTTATGTCGGAGTTTCAGTTTTTTGACAAACGCACTTCAACAGAAATCGTTTAGTTTTGGCCGAGATCGTGTCTGAGAGTCGACACCAATGCAGACCACTTATTAAGGCTCCGTTTGTGATTTAAAGTTTTATTCATTATGAAAACTTACTTTTTAATGTGCACTGAATTTAGCCTTCATTAGCTGAATACGTATTATTTAAGTGAGAAAAGGAGAAATATCTCCACCTGAAGAGGTCACCAGTGCATGTCTGGATGGAAACCACATGAAAAGAGGATCTGAAGCTGATAGAAGTTTATTTCTTCTTCATTTTTTTGCTTTTAATGAATCCGTTGGTTCTCTGTCTGTGCCTAAGACTCTTTATTTTTTAACAGTGAACCTGCTGGACTCGCGCTCTGTGATGGGAGATCTGGGATGGGTGGCCTACCCGAAGAACGGGGTGAGTATCGCCCTCAGGAATCAAATACGTGTTTTAAAGGGTTGTCACATCTGACGAACACTAAATCTTTATTACAGATGTTGTGGTGACGCCTAAAACTTTAAGTTACCAGTGATCGTGTTGGTATGGATCGGTTGCATTTTTGGTTTGTTGAGTAGAGATGCTCAGAACATAACGTCATTTAAACGTCTTTGTAGAGTTACAAGATTCATTTAATAAGTTCCTCATCAGCAAAGTAAATGTCTAATATGTACAGTTCAGGTAGTTTAAAGAGTAAACTCACTTTTTAGTGGTGCCAGAAGACGTTTAATACTTTATTATTTCCAGGTTCTTCATTTGTTTTATCAAGGTTAAAGGTCGTTTCATTTCCAGGAACTCTCAGTTCATTATCGGGGTAAATTGAATTCATGAATAAGATATTGAAAGTCACCACGGAATATATTATTCTCAAGCCAGGAATTGAATTTCCATTTCCAAGTATTCCCAAGGTGAAGTCTAATTAGAGAATGACTTACTTGAGTTATAAAACAGTTATTTTACGGCATTAGAGTGTATTTTAATGAAAGAGAAATGGTGCTTAAAACTATTTATTAATGACTTCCAGAATCCAGCCTCAGCTCACCAGACGTTTTACAACCGTTGCTCAGAAAAGCTGCGTTCCTCCTTCCTCCAGGGGGTTTGTGTTGCTGCTGTCGGTCTGAACAGGAATCCGTTCGTGCATCCGTTTGATCCACACGGAAAATCTCTCATATAGTCGCAAGTCCCGTCTGCAAACAGGCAGCCATATACACCGGACCGATAGTGCTGACCGCGGCGTTTCCTCGGCTCTGGGTATTCACATCACGGCCCGCTCGCTGGCTGTATGGAGATGGAGAGATAGTGCTGACAAAAGCAGCCGTATGCGCAATCATATTAATGAAGATGTGATTATGGAGTGTGTGTTTTCAACAATGCAGCTGCATAAATAACCACATTTAGGACAGACAGAGGGAGAGAGGAAATAAAAGGCACGATAAGACAATGTAAGGATCTCATAATTATATCCTAATTAGCTGTTAGCTGTTCGTATTCAGCTACTGCACGTTTTAGGATGACTTTTTTTTTTTCTATTTAATTTGTTGTCTGACACTGAAATTATAATAGCCATTGTTTGTTGAACAGCACCCCATCTGCAGCGTACTCACACACACACACACACACACACACACACACATTCACACTTCGATTCTTGGCTAAATGAGATGTTGAAAAAGTTTTTATTTTTTTATTTTTTTGAGGCCCATCTTCCAGATGGTTCATTTCATCCCTGCTTTTCTGCTCTTCCCTTCATCCCCATCATTGCCTGCCCTCTCATCCTTTCTTTTTTCTGCCTTATTGCCGCCCCTCCCATCCTTCCTCCTCCCTGAACATTCGCTCGGCTCCTTATCCCCGTTTTCTTCTCATTCTCGTCATCTGCTTGTCTTTTCATCTCACCATCTTCGCTTTGCTCCCCTCCCTCCTGCTTTGCTTTTCCTTGGTGCATGTTTGTCAAAACGTGCATTTAAACCAAATGGGGCAAAGTAAGGGCCTTAAAATGCGTCTGCAATCTGATGGACGACCTTGAACACTTGGATGCATTTCAGTGGATTCAGTGACGCTAAACAGAACATAATTAACAGAGAAATGTTTTGAAGTAGACGAGTGAAACACTTTAGTGGCATCAATGCAGATCCACACAGATCTCCTTGAAGTCATGTGATCACATGATGGTGGTCTGGATGCAAAGTCTGTCAGCGTAACTCAAGGCTGAAGGCCCAACCCACCAATCACCGCGTCCTATTTTACACTGAACGTTATGAGCAGACGTAATGACTCGTATCTCTGCAGCTTTGATGCTTCGGTGGTTGCTAACCAGCTAGCGCTGGCTCCGTCCCACCCCTGTTTCCCTACCTGCTGGCCGGCCAGGTTGCTGCTGGGGCAGTTCCTGATGCCTTTCCAGTCCGTCTCTTATCCTGCAGATGGACTCCACCGTCCCGGTCTGCAGCTGGAGGAGGTGGTTGGTTATCTGATCACAGGTGGACTTTATGGCCGGATAA